TTAGAATTGATTGACTGTAAGCATTTAGAGGATTGAAATCATACTCGAATAATTTTACCCTAACACCAACTGCCGGTTTTTGACCGCAAATAAATTTACCGCGGACAGCTGTCGATTGCACCATACGTTCAACTCGATATGTATTGATTATATAAGGAATTGTGGAAAAGATAAGAAAGAACACAAACCAAAATTGCAACATTCTGAATAATTATTGGAACTGTTAATGTACGATAATGAATGATATACAATAAAATAATTCAAAATTTTAAAAAATAATTGGAATTAAGAAATTAATAGAAAAATAATTGAAATTAATAAAATAATTGAAATTAAAAAATATTAGAACATTGCAAAATTATATGTTAGTCAAGTAATCTTCTTGTTCCTTTTTATTAACTTATTCAAAAAATTTAATAGGCTATAAATTCTTTATTTTGCATCAGTTGATAAAACTAACAACTGCAAATTTTAGTTAGTTGCGAAAAAAAGTAATACGTTTAGATTATCGTAGATGTGTAATCTAATCATTCAGTTAAAGAAAAAATGATAAATTTAAAAACTGTGAAATGAACAATTATAATTTCTTGAATAGCGACATTATTTCTAAGGAATAGTCAAAATATAAAAGTTCAAATTACTTCATATTAATAATATTTTTGGAAATTGAACAAGCTCAACCAAGCAAACAAAAAAGCCAGTGCCGAAAAAAATAAATGCCCAAATAATCTTTTTAGCACGCAAAATGCATAGCTTAAAAAATTGTTGAAATTCGAAAATTTGTTGAATTTTTTGTTATCTAAAATAAAGTGTGAAATGATTAGCAATAGATGCTGAAAAAGATGCGAATATTTGCTGAGCTAACCAATTGGATCACATGCAAACATGTTGACTGAAGCATCCGAACAACGGCAACTAAGAATTTCTTAGTTGACCTCTGACCTCATTTAGCTATTTGCAATATCTTTTGTAAATCTCTATAAATGCGAAAGCAATAGAATAGTGATTGAAAATGCTGAATGTCTAATCGATCACTATTAGTCCAAAAAAATAAATGAATTTTTATCAAAATTTATGGAAAAAACCTTTCAAAAAATTTGCTTATAAATCTGCTGCTCCTTTTGCTTCTTTTTTTAATATTTTAAATTATTCACTAAAAAAGCGTAAACGTTTTCAAATTAATGGATCAATGCTTAAACAATTTCGTCCATAACAGAATTGCATTTTCACTTTTCAATTCGTAAATGTACCACAGTTTCATATAAAATTTTCGTCACATCGATCCATTTTTTGCCACCATTTAGTTTTACGTGTAGCCGGAAAGTTACAAATACGTAGTTATTCTACACTCATTTCTTTAAAAAAATTAGCATTATTAACTGTCTTTGACTGAAGCAACAATATAAATTTAAAAAAATCAATTTAAAAATTTGTTTTACTTTCAAATTGTTTAATTTCTTTTCATTAATGACCTTTTTTCTCTTTTCAATGTATTCAATATTTTTGTTTTTCAATTTCAACCATTCATTTTTTTTCTTTTTCACTTCATTTTCATCTTATGCATCAATTTGGTAATTATTTCTAAGGTAAATGTTTTTAGCTGCTTATTATTACCTATTATCCTTCTTTACAACTATCATTAATACCCTATTCTTTTCAGATATTGCTACAGGTGGGATACAAATTTGCATATTGGGGTACCTAGTAATCATTTGGCGCGCATGAAAGTTTGGACGGGGACTTTTAATTAAAATTTGATTTGATTAAAAAGTATTTGACAATATTTCAAGAAATGCCGAAAGGAAAACGAAGAATAAGGCGGATTTCGAGGACTAGAAGCGATGCTATTCCAACAGTCGTCCCAGAATTTCAGCCTATTAATCCATCGCGACGTAAAATTTCCATTATTCTAAGATGATGCCGTAGAGAATACATAATTTATAAAATGCGAAATAAATTTAATCAAAATCTTATTTCTGTTTTTCTTTCATTTTTCAGACTTTAATTGCGCATATTTTTTCAGAGAATGTTTCTGAGTTATTGTCAATAATTGGGGCACATGCAAATGTCAGACGAGTAAGCAGAGCTAACATGATGAAGAAAGAGTAAGTAATATGAATTAGAAATTCTGGAACATGGATATCGGTGTGGAAAGTTATTTAATATATTTCATAAATTCTTGAAATTGCTGTTGAATATGTTTGATGGATTCTTGGGTATGCTTCCATAAATTTTTCAATTAGGTACTTTCAGCATATTTATATGTTCATCAGCACTATCGTTCAATTAATCTATCTTTTTAAATTAGTATACAAGAATTTATAAGCAATTGTGAAGGAGAAAAAGTGAATAGTAATGGAATGTAATGACACATTTTCTTGAAATTGCTGTTGAATGTAAATTATTTAAAAATTATTTAAAATACTGAATTATTTGTAAATTATTTAAAATAGCTACTTTAAATAATGGATATATTTTCAGTGAAGTCTACGGTTGGCTTGGAGCTGGAGATATACAGTCTGTATTCAAATATTGTAATAAGATCGTGTTAAAGAATGACTTTGTCCAATTGGTTTGTTTTTTGTTTCTATGTAATTTAATTGAGTTACCATCGACAAAACAGGAGGAGCTCAGTCGGCACTATCAGTATTAAAATCATTGATATAACTCTATATGCTAAGAACTTGGTGCAGGTACTCTTATTTGAAGTAAATCATTTCCACGCAAGACTAGTTGAGGCTACATATTTCTTATTTAGTCGGATTTGGCGGAACAACTCAGTTTCAGAATCAGTATCCGCATGGTGAAATTTCTGCGGCCATTATCAATATTATTTCTAAGGTTCCGGATGTTTTACAAACTTCAGCAATAGAAGCACATAAAAAGTCTTTGACTGATATGAAAAATCTCCTTGTCGAAGCTGCTTTCGCTCAAAATTTCATATTTTCGTGAGTTTAAATTTCATCTGGAATATTCTTCCGAAATTCCTATGCCACTTCAATTAATTCACATGAGGCTTGCAGGAAAGAGGGAACATCACAAGACATTGCTAGCGAACAATCCATATTGTATAGCAACGAACCAAAGAATATGTTCTGTTTTGTGCGCCATGATGACAATATTATCCTTTTCACTGATTCTGAATGCTATGATGCTACGAGATACTTTGTCGAGAAAATTTATAAGTTTTCATTTATTGGTACTTGTAAAAATGGAACTGAATTTAACTTCATCGTGTTGGTAAAATAATCCTGCTCCATAATGGTGCATGGTTTTCACAGATAAAGGCTAAATGGTGAGACAATGTGATCTGAAGAATATACAGTAAAAACAATTAAAATAAAGGATAATATTTGTCTTAAAAAAATATCAATTTCGGATGATTTGAAATTAGTTTCAAAATAGCTGATTTTTTCATAAATTTTTAACGCAGAATTCTTTATTGCACTTGAATTATTTCAGGGCAGCGCACCGATGAAGAAACTTTTGTTGACTTTCAGCCTCTCCTTTATGATGAAAATTTCGAAAATAGGTACGTATGCAGTGATATTAACAGCTTTTGACGAAGCAATGAACTCAGTTAATAATTTTTTTTTAGCTCTGGACGACTTTTTGCTATTTTGCCAGATAGAAAATTAAGGATTATGGCAGAACTTACAGAATTACAGCGTGAATACACAGCGGTATATTTCGTTTCCTTTTTCATCCTTCAACCTTTGATATAAAATTTTCCAAGAGAAACAGATAACTTTGTTCTTCAAGCAATTTTTCAAAAAATTTAACAAGATCTTTGGGGTAATGTAAATAGACTGATAGGTTTTTAAAAACCTTGTAAATCACATTTAATATTAATATAACTTTACCACTTTATTTTTTGTGATTTCGGATTTTGAGTTGCAGAAATTTGGAAATTACGAAACTGACAAGTCGTTATCCAATACTGATTGGGTTAGTACATTATTGGAATCTTTTTTTTCTATTTTATTTTTTTAAAGCCTCTTTTTTCTTGGCAGTTTATTTTTTATCAGGATGAAATTAGTACGCTTAATGCCAGCATTTCGGAAGCCGAATCATTTGAGTTGGTGGTGGATGACGAAAACAAAAAACAGGTATATTTGAATTTAATTATTTAATGATTGATGGAAAGAGAATTAAATCTAAGCAGGTTTGGTTTTAAGTCTCCAGAATTCTGGAAAAGCATTTTTATCTTTTGAAGCTTCAGAAATTTGCAATATGTCCTGTTTCTTTTTACACACTCTCTGGATTTCAGGATATAAGTTCTAGCAGTGTTGTTAGTTTGAGTACAGTGTTGTCGGAAGAACGATTTGCTCTCTTGCAAGAAATTAAAAACAAGGAAAAGGAATTAAGAACTGAACAGGAAAAGTAAGCAGCATAGTATTTTTATGTCTCACTTTGTCCAATACAAAGATGTTCTTAAACTTGGATTGGCTAGTATTTCTATATCTTGCAAGTTCTTTTTTTTAGATTCAAATATTCTTTAATACCGCAAGAGAATATCGCAGAAGCAAGAGCTCGATTTCACGAATCGGTAAATGCAGAATTTCTTCAGTGACGTTCATTCACTTTTTCCACTGCGTATTATATTTTAACTAGACGTCTTGTATGGTGCATCAGTAATATTTCGACATTATGCTTATGATATAGCATACTTGATGGAATAATTAAACTAAGTATTTGTTAGTAGTAGACTAAATCAGTGGAAAATTTATGTAGTTGATAATGTACTGCCAATCATTGAACTGGTCTGAATAAGTTTTTTCTTGCTGCGAACGTAAATGGACAATGATGATATTGTAGTTGACGCAAGGCATTGAAAATGCAGCAGCATCGATTCATCGAAAGAAAAAGTTGCTTATGGTTCTAAGGAGCAGCGAAAAAGGCAATGCTAGATTGTGATGTTATTTTGAACATAAACTTCAAATTTATTGGTTACAGAACATGATAATGAATGAAATAAGCTCTCCATGATGATTTTTCAAAAAATTGAATTTTGTGCTTCACCTCTTCACAAAATTCTCTAAATCGCGATTATTCATGTGCAGGAAAAATGGAAGTATTTTTTCATCATTCATACTATCTTTACGAATCCTTTCATCTCTTTTTTAAAATGTGCACTTATCGTTAACAACATGATGCTTGCAAATATAATTCATTTTTATTTTCCTAGACATGCCACCTCTGTTACGCTATTTATATCATAATTACGTACAGAGTGCTGAAATTGATTGAAGAATACTTTCGTCTTGGCTGCATACTGCCATGAAATCTTCCCGCGATATCCATCCTTTATTTTCATGATCAAATTTCTGAAATGTGAGAAATTAAAATGGCAGAAAATTTAAACATACAAAATCTTTTTTTTTTCTTTTGCTAACCTCAGTAGGTCAGAAGTTACTTGTTAGCAGTACAGAAAGATGGTCAACCTATTTCCGTTGTCTAGCATTATTGAAGCGAAAGTTGAATTTTCCTTTAAATGATATTTCACAAAATTTAAAGGGAATTGCCGGTGAATATATAGCAACACACATGTCTACCTGTACAATTTGTCTAGCTTGTTCTATTCGTTGAGCTGGTGATATTATCGGCATTGCCTTGATTCCTGAATTTGAGTTTTTGGTACTATTGACATTGTATAATTTACTTTTTGAACATACTCTAATTGCTAAAAGTAAACTGCTGAATGCAGTTTAAAACAACGCATTCAACGTTGTTTCATATAAAAGCAGAGTACACTGCATTTCCTTCAAATTTTTCAAATTTTTTTGAAGGAAATGCGGTGTACACATGCAGTGTACTCTGAAAAGCATTCCAAATTTATCTTTTTTGAAATTCATAGAAAAGTTTTTTTTATTTTCAAAACCTAACCAATTAAATCATTAGTAGCGGTGATAATCCTAAAAATTTGTTCCCATTCGATTTTACCGGTATTTTTGGGATCATATATCTTGTACATCCAGTTTAATTTTTCCTCCATTGTTCCTCTTATCAGAATCGAGTATGCCTTGACGAAATCCTACAATTAAAAATGTGAGTCAAATGTATTGTGCTTGCATAACGAAAATGAGCATTCACACGAATAACGATAAGTAAATTACCATAAATGTTAGGTACTGAGCATGTTGACGTCCAATATTATCAAATATCAAATCAGCAAACTGTTCCACATCACCATGAGGAAAAATATTAGCATAAATATCACGAAATGAATTTCTGCAGATGGGCAGTGTATCCTTAAATGCTCTATAAAGAGCTCGTAATTCACCAGCCGTAAAACGTTGTTCCGGTAAAATCTGAAATCATTATTCTTTTCAAAAAATTATTTACTCTCTTCCAGATAATTAAATTTTTGATACGGTAAATCTTGATATTCTTTCTTTCTTTTATATCAATTAAATACAATTTCAGATAAGTGGAATCAAAATGCAAATATGCTGTCTGATTTTATGAGTGCCATAAATTTCATAATATTAATAACTATTTATTTCATTAATATATTTTTCGATCCATTTTTACTTTATCCAGCAGTTACACAATGTTTAAATTTCCATTTAAAAAAACAAAATTGATATCCATCTGCCATTTAAATGCTGCTTTTGTATAATAAATTCAATAAGAAGTATCTTTTATACAATATACAATAATTAAAACCTATGTTAATTAAAAATTTATAAGTAATATGAACGAAAGATATATAAAATGATACGGTGTTCAAATTAGGCCGTGTTGCTATTTCATCATAATGTTTAATTTCCGCATCGCTTTCTGAAATTATTACAAACTGCAAAATTAAAAATTAAGATATTTATGAGGTTAGAATTGCTAACATAAAAAGAAAAGTTATGACAATTTAGAAAATTACAACATATATACATGAATGCAACATTTAGAATATTTTATAATCTTTATATGTTAAAATGATTAATTTGAAAAGTTTTAGAAATGTCTCTGCAAAGGACACGAAAGATGTAATCAATTTGTGACTATTTAAAATTTATATTACATTAATGAAGAAACAAACCAGTGACTATTTAAACATTTTTTTTTGTTTTTTGCTTAAAAAGCCTCTTGTAGCCGGAAATATTCTTAAAACCGAAAACTTCGAAGCACTCTTTAACATTTTGCAATTTCCTCCCTGTTAATGCTTGTAAAGTTTAGATAGGTGAACTATTAATCAAAAATTCCCTGCAGCATTAGCAACAGACACGTTATTTTTACTAACATTGCAAAACTATAATTTTATTCAGTAAAATGAAATAAAATAAATTTCAAAAATAAAATGAATGAATTAATTTCAAAATTAAAAAAATAAAATCACGAAAGATGAGAGTAAAAGCTATTTGTATATTCATTTCTTTTTCATTTTTTTTTTATTTTTCATTTTTTGTATCAGTCAATATTTCCACACGCTTGAAATATGCTATTGTGGTATTTTAAATTTTAAAAAAAATTTCTTTTGTCATTTTGAAATGTAAATTTTTGAAAATTTTAGAAGCGAATAGCAAAAGAGCATATTTCAATCATTTATCTTTTTTTTGAGTGAGATGATTTTAAACAACTTCGTACAATAATTACATTTCGTGTTATTTTTCACGGTATTTATTGATTAATGTTCATTAGTAAGATAAGTTAAGTAACTTTTTTTAAGTAATAAATTATTTTTTAACCTTACTTCTGAACGAATTTAGAGCGCATTTTAGTTTCTCGGTATAGCCAGCTGAACGACGCCTGCTGCTCATTTGCCCTGAAGATTATATTAGAGTATATGATTTCAATTTTCACTTCGTCTGTTTTATCTGAGCATTGAAAAAATGAAAGGATTACAACTTTGTCTCAAAGAGCACTTTCTTTCATTTACGCTCTCTTTCTTTGCTCTCTCAGGTAGTTAGTTAGTTAAGTAAATAATAATAATATTGGCATTTAAGAAACAACCAGCCAAGACTTCATATGATCAAAAATCTAGCCTTCAAGCTGTTTTTTTTTTTGACTTTAACAGCTAACAATAGAAAATATAAAAGTCTTTATTGCTCTTTCTTTTTTTAAATAACAATAGCACATTAGATGCATAATTATTATTCCTAATTTTTGTCATTGTTTCTTAGTATTATTATAGAGTTAGCAAGATGATCAGATTTAATTCGTATTAAAAAATTACGTTAAGGAAAAAAGAATGGTTTATATTGAGATAATCACTATAGAATTTTTCCTTTTTACCATTGCTAATATCATTCTTAATTGTTAATTTGAGAAAAAAAAATCTGTATAATATAGCTATCATTACTATATCAGAGAATTTTCCAATATCAAATACTATTTCACATAGTTAGGCTGTGTTTGTTAATTTTT